TAGATCACATTTGTATCAAACTCAAGATATCTAAAAAAATAATTCAATCCTCACTCTTTACAATTTGGTCTAATGACTCGTTCAGCCCCCACCTTCAAAAATCAACGAATTTCAGTTAAAGGGTGTTCCACATCAAATTGCATCACGAAAAAAAAGCTGTTGAAAATTATCTAGTTGACCGATCATTTTCAAACTTTCAGACAATAAAATATAACCCATTAGTAAGTGTTTGGCTTATTTATTTCACGCAACTTCAATACCATAGCCGTACCACTCATTAGGTTCTGTACAACATCTGGCTGCAGCTTCTTCTGTACGGAAACCCACTTTTTCTTCATGTCTTCCTCAGATTTGACCTCCTTGGGATGCTTCCGTAGTGCCTGCTTCATAATAGCCCAGTATTTTTCGATGGGCCTTAGTTCCGGTGCGTTGGGGGGGGGGGGGGGGGTTAATGTCCTTGGGTACGAAAATGACCCCATTGTCTTCATACCATTCCAGGACAACATCCAGCTCCTGATGCAGTTAACAAATAACATTTATTATATAAGACCACGTACACCATTGCGTACAACCCCATGAGACGGACGCGGTGATAAAAAAGTTCTTGAACAACGAGCACTCGGGTCTCATTTTCAAAAAAATGAAAAGCCTATGAATGTGGCGTGCTTTTGTTTACAGGATCATCAAAAGGACCAAGGAGACATTCCCGAGTAGGATTCATTACATTCCTGACTTAAATTCAAGACGTTCTCGACGGAGACTCCGGATGTTCCCGATGGATATTCCAAACGTTTTTGACGAGTGTTCCAGACTTTCTTGATAGAAATTCTCGAGACATTCTTGACTTTGATTCCAGTCGTCCCTGACTTACATTCTTGGCGATCCCGTTAGAGATTCCAGACGTTGACGACGGAAAATCCAGCCGTTTACAAAAGTTATTCCAGACGTTTTCGATGAAGATTTTTAACGTTTTCAACTTGCTTTCGAGGCGTTCTGAACGGAGATTCTAGACGTTGCCGATGCAAGGTTCAAACGTTCCAGACGGAGATTTCAACCCTTCTTTCCGGAGGTTCCAGACGATCCGATTCCATATCAGAAGATTACAATGATGATTCCTGACTCTCCCGACGGAAATTTCAAACGGTTTCGACAGGGATTCTACGCTTTTCCGACGGAGATTAGAGACGTTGCCATGTTGGATTCCAGATATGCGTGACTTTGATTTGAGACGTTACAAACGGAGATTCCTGGCGTTCCTGACTTGGATTGGAGACGCTCATGACGGAGATTTCAGATCTTCCAGAACTTGAGATTGAGATTGGAGACATTCTCGATGATCCAGATGGAGATTCCAGATCTTCCCGACAGAGGTTGCATACGCTCCGAAGATGATTCCAGACGATCCCAAAGATGATTCCAGACTTTGCCGAGGGTAACTCTGTACTTACGTACCGGAGATGATTACAGACAGAAACTCCAAACTTGTTCGACAGGGCTGCCAGATTTTCCTGACGGACATGTGAGATTAGATTCCAGACGTTCCCAACATGGATTTTAATATTCCTTACGGAGATTTCAAACCTTCTTCATACAGTTTCCAGATAATTTCAAGCTTTCTTGACGGAGATTCGAGATGTCCGTAGCTTTGATTCCAGTCGTTCCTGACTTAGATTCAATACGGTCCCGACGGAGATTCCAGACGTTCCCAGCTGAAATTTCAGACGTTCCTGTCTTGGATTCGAGATTACAGACCTTCCTTACGGTTCCTTCCCAGATGGTCCCGAAGGAGATTTCAGACGTTCCTGATATGCATTCAAGGCGCTCCAGACGGGGATGCCAGACCTTCTCAACGGCAGTTTTAGACGATCATAAAAATGATTCCAGACTTTCCTGACGGACAGGGATTCCAGAAATCCAAATCACAACTAAGATTTTAGACATTCCTGACCTGAATTCCAGACGCTCCAGACGAAAATTTAAAACGTTTCCAATGACGGTTCCAGACTGAGGGAGATTTAAGACGTTCTGAACAGACTAGTGTTTCCTACCCGGGCATCCCGGGAATTTCGCCAAAAAACTAGTTTTCCGAAACGCAGAAATAATTAATTGGTGTCAAATGGCATGCCAGACATACATGTTTACTAAGAAAAATAGACCACACCTACCGGAAAAAACGCTCCAGGGAAAAAAGTGAGATAATGTGAGAAAATCTTTCAAATGTTTCTGACGGAGCTTCCAAACTTCTCCCGATATAGGATCAAAATGTTTTCGGTGGGAATGGGAATTTTTTTTGGAGAAAGTTGTCAAACCAACTGTATAAGTAATGATTGGATAAGATCATTATGTGTTTAAATACGATGAAGCTACCTCTCACACAGCAAGCTAGATCACAGCTGATGCAGAGATAATTTGACCAACTTTTTGGTCAAATATAAATGCCCTCACAGTTCACCAGATCGGCATCCCTTGGATTAGTTCATGTGGTCATAAATACTATTGAAGGTAAACCAACACAGGGTATCTAATTTGATCCAATTCAAAGCCATAATCAATCGAATATGGGACGAAATGCCTATGAAAGTCGTGTGTGCCATCAGTGCACAGTGGTCCAGAATGCAGATTTAGGTGGAATGATATGTTTTGAGCCTGAAATTGAAACTTTAGACTAAAAGTCTCTTCTAAAAAGTTGTTCCTTATAGTTAGGCCCTCATTTTAATGACAATTCTAGGGTGGTTCCTATTATGATTAAAATCAAAAATCTAACTTTTTTGTTTGAATAAATTAAGGTATACATTCTTCGGCAAAGTTATAGCTGAGCTAATTTCAAGCAACTTTGTTGAAAATAACTTTTTGTTATCTCTTAAATTGGCCGATTTAGAGCTATTTTCTTGAATTGAGTTAAGGTGGCTCTTAAAAAAACAGTTGTTTTGCTCTAATTTTTTTTTTCGAATTTTCTCAGCAAAAGTGTTTTCAAATAACTTTTAGATCTTAAGAAGGCGCAAATTTTTGCCGCACAAAGTTTGTCAATATCTTTTGCCGATCAAGAGTTATTGATGTTTTTATACTAAAAATATGCACTTTTCAAATGTTAATATCTCTGGTTGGGGCAAACAAGTGTCTTCGAAGAAGTTTTTGTTCTTAAAAATTCCCTTCTTTTGGTGTTTGCAAACGTCAGGGTGGTCCTCAAATTAGGGAATTTTTAAAACTAACTTTTTTGTTTTACAAAATAAAAATTGCAAGCAACTTTGTCGAAGAAATTTTTTTTCTATCTCTTAACGTTCTCATTTTAGAGTAATTTTTCGGAGTTGACTTAGGGTGTTCCTGGAAAAAAATAGTTTTTTTTTTGCAATAACTTTTTTATTTCAAATTTCTCATGAAAGTCATCTTGTAGAGACTTTTAAAACTCTTTAAGACGAATGTTTTATAGCTGAATTTGTTGCCTGAATCTCTTCTAATAAAAAAGATATACCCAAATATAGTAAAAAATATGAATAAATTCAAATTGATTTTATACGAGTTTAAAAAATAACATACCTCCATTTTTTTCATATTATTGAGAATAACATACGCCCTTTCAAAAGCCGTAAAAAAACTTTTTTTTTTGTTTGCCCCAACCAGATATATTAACAAGCTTTGTGCAGCAATAATTTGCGCCTGCTTAAGATCTAAAAGTTATCTGAAGACACCTTTGCTGAGAAATTCGTAATAAGAAAACTAGAGCAAAAAAACTGTTTTTTTAAGAGCCACCCTAACTCAATTCAAGAAAATAGCTTTAAATCGGCCAATTTAAGAGATAAAAAAAAGTTATTTTCAACAAAGTTGCTTTAAATTAGCTCAGCTATAACTTTGCCGAAGAATGTATACCTTAATTTATTCAAACAAAAAAGTTAGATTTTTGATTTTAATGATAATAGGAACCACCCTAGAGTTCATTGTCATAAAAATGAGGGCCTAACTATAAGGAACAACTTTGTAGAAGAGACTTTTAGTCTAAAGTTTCAATTTCAGGCTCAAAACATATCATTCCACCTAAATCTGCATTCTGGACCACTGTGCAGTGACGTGTTTGAGAAACGTCTCAATCTGATCAAACAGGTTGAAGGCATGGTAATTCCAAAACATATGCTGTAATGGATCAATATTATATTGTTAATACTGGATTACTGATGCAAAAAAATCAGTTCGAATTTGAATGAGAATATATAAATCACGGTGTAGTTCATTGAACGTATTGGCATGATGTACTCAAATAATTTTTTCCATAACTAAAACTTTAAAAAAAAATGTCATAACGATTAAACGCTAGCATCAACTTTAGTTATCACTATATTTCATACCTTATTACGTGGTTTTTCCTTTCATTCTACTACTATTGTATCACTTAATCGCTTAAAAAAATAATAACAGATACGTATTTCGTTTACTACTTGCAAATTTCTTCAGTGTCTAGTCAAGTCTATGACTAGACACTGAAGAAGTTTGCAAGTAGTAAACGAAATACGTATCTGTTACTGTTTTTTTTAAGCGATAGTGAAAGTAAATTGTGAAAGTTAATAGCGAATTAGTGAAAGTGGAAATGATACAATAGTAGTAGAATTTAAAGGAAAAACCACGTAATAAGGTATAGAATTATTCTACTAAAACGCTCATCAATCAATTTAGAGTATGTTTCAGCCATACTACATATATAACCTTCAACATAGCATAAGTAGATTCGATGCGTTAATATTTAACGGATTTGCCAAGCATGGTTCCTTCGTACCTCCATAATGTTGCGAAAAAAAATATGTTTCATTCACTCGAAGAGATTTCAGCTTCTAAAAGATAACAAACGAATTTGTACATATTTATAACATCCTCCATTTTCACGTCCATGGCTGCTTGAAATAGGAAAACGAATGAAATCATCCTGTTCATTTATCGCACACGAGTAATCTTCACAAGTCAGTCAACCACATGATTGTAATCTCCACATTTTTACCTTTTTTTTTCCATCACAGGCTCGCCTTTGGCCTCATCACCACCATCGGCCGTTAAGTTTTCAACTGTAGGAATCTACCGGCCACCGGCCGCTCGAAAAGCGCTCAAATTTTCCGAGAGCGCCATCCAACTTGCACCGCCAGCAGCCGGTGATAATCCCAACGAATACAATCACTACCATCCTCATCCCACACCTCTTCCTGCTCCTGCTCCTCCTCCTCCTGCACAGCAGCATGTAAGTACAAAATCTGCTTCGGAGGAAACTGTTGTAGACCCGCCCCCCAAACCGCCTCCACCAGCGACAGGTGGATCAAAATCACCTTGTAAACCTACTGCCGGTAGCGTCGCAAGTAGGGCAACGCTAGGAGAAACAGGTTGCGATAGTCGTACTACACCAAAGCCAACAAAAGTGATAACAACTACTGGTCTAAGTAAATTGCCGGTAGCAGATGCAACTCCATCGCCAGTAGAAGCAACAGACAGTAACAACAACAGCAACAATACTGACAGTAGTAACGGCAACGAACAACCACTTGTTGCTGCGGCAGCAGCTAGTCAAGGAAATCAAACCGCAAGCAGTACTACCACTACAACTAGGTAAGTGAGATGAAGATGCAATAAACAGTAAATAAAACAAAACTGGTTGGTTTGCAATTGCGATAGCATATTACGCCATTGGCTCTTCGAAATAAGGTTAATGGTCTACTGAGAAGGTATAGCTAATACATGGCGGTGTAACTTGTCGGCGGTATGTATGGATGGAATCAGGTGGTGAGGCGTGGGAATGCCACACTGATAGCTTTTATGGGCAATGGAAGTCGACAAGGTCCCTTTGCAGGTTTTACTTTCAACGGAAAGCGCCCAATGGAGACCGATTCGAAGGTTCGAGAATGATAGCAAACCGGAATTTCGCACGCAACTTTTCAAACGGTGCTAAGTAACAAATGTAAACAAATCGAGTTAATCGATACAAACTATTACAAAAACACCCATCAAAATTTACTTTCATTTATTTCCATTGGTCAAAAATTGTCCAATGTACAGTTTGAAATGATGGGTACGTGATTGTTACTTCGGACATTTGGACTGCCTAACATGCTTACTGAAGGTACTGAAATCTGTGAAAGGGAATCTAGTATCATGTAGAATAAAACGTCCTATGTAACATGTTCGATTTACAACTTGACTAATTAAAAAGTCCTATGTGGTTTTTTCTATGTTGCAGCATTAAATTCAAAGTAAAATTTCGATTTTACGGTTTCTACTGAACTTTCAACGTTCTCATTCACTGACCACAGTGAAAATGGTATTGCAAAATTTATTGTTTCTAAACAGTTTAAACAATAATCTGTCGAACTTCAACTTCCATTTTCTCAAAATGACGGATATGTTACATTGGTTTATTAGAATGTCATTATTAGCGAAATGTCATATGACTCGCCGAAGACCGTCACGAATGTATGTATTTTAGTTTCTCTTATAATAAGAGCTGCTGATGTTGTGCTTGGCTTGTGCGAATTCTAAAAATTGCTAGCAACGATGTTCTAGTAGTAAAATTTCTGATTAGAAATTTCACACCAAATTGAGGAATTAGAACGAAATCACACATTTTTTTTTCCTTGAATTGTTTTTCGTCGATCTTGTTTTCCAATGCTACCGACGCCAGGGAGGCAGCTCCCACCCCTGGACCCTACCTATCGACCCATCAACTCATGAACCGGGAAACAACTTCCCTTTCGAAGGAAGGCGTGATCAGAGATGTTACACTCTGAAAAATCTTCACGTCCGATTGACGTGAAAATATAGGTGGTTTTCATCCACCCTGTTTTTCACGTAACTTTTACCGGAATTGCACGTAACCGATCAAAATTCAGCTTCAATTATCTACGTGATTAGTCAGGTAAGTAACACCTGATTTCCACGTACTGCTTACGTGAAATCGGGATGAATACTACTGGACATCTGGTACCTCTACGTGACATTCCTGTGAAGAATAAACTGAGGTACATTAAAGTTGCAAAAAATGTGCCTTCAGACATAGCGTGTGTGTATGAGTTTTCTTTTTATTTCTGACAAAACATTAACACCTGTTTGCAGACTCCAAATGCTGATGTCACCGCCTGAAATTATAAAACTAGAAAAAGGCTAATCATAAATAAATTAATGTAAAAGTATCTAATTACCGTCCAACATTTGCAGCAAGCTGCTGAGAAATTTTGAATCTTTGAGGAGTTCTTCCGCCACGCTCGGTGACGCCATATTGATTTTTTTGCGTACCTGAAAATCATGTAAATCTCGCGGAAATATCGAAGTCCCAAACACACAAACACAAATACACTAAATATGTTTACGTGAATATATGGTCAATTTCACGAACATTTTTGGTGGACATGACGTGTAATGCAGGTCAAAGCTACTAACGTCACGTAACAATTGAGATGTTCTAATTACAGACCATGTACGTGATATTTCACGTAAATCAAACGTGAACATTTTTTAGAGTGTATGCCTCAGAACATACCGGCGGTGCCGACTGGGATTGAACCCAGGCCTTACCACTGCACCGCTTAAAGAACAGTTAAAATGTCTAAAAATATTGAAATTGGCTGTGTTTCTGAACAATTGAGCTCTTTAATTTTGAAAAATGTATCGTTTTTTATAGGGTTACGGTATGTAATGTGGGTCTAGTCCTTTCATTCGGCCTATCACGCAAATAAATAATTAATTAAGGAATATTACACAAAAAATAAGGAAAATATTGATCACTGATGGTTGATAAATGTGTACCACACACAAATCAATTTATATCACAACATTTCAATACATTTTCAGCTCTCGTAAGTAATAAAACTGGTTGAGAATATCACAATGTTCGGAGTTTTTAGCCGCCATGACTTATAAGGTTAAGATGGGAAGGTTGACTGACGATCATCAAATGGCCTGATTATGGCATTTATTGATTGGAATTACCTGATAATACACACTAGACGTAAAACTTACAGTTGCTGTTTGAATATTTTATGTTTATTTTAATTGTTTAACAACGTTTTCACAAGTAAAACATGGACCCAACTTTAGGGACACATTTCTTTTCTATGTTCCTAACTATGGCCCATGAAATTCATTTGACAGCATATAGCAATAAGAGTAACGTCAACAATGTTGTTTTGCATTTGGATGATAAGGAACGAACAGGAAGGGAGATTTTTTCTGCCAAACCTGTATAATGAACATCACAATGTTCTGATTTAGATATTCTGCGGTCAAAAGACGATAAGCGAAATTTTTAATTTTTAATTTTTAAATTGAGTGATTTAATGTAGTTTTCGTAAAATTTTCTCTAAGAAATGTTTTGAGGAATGAAGAGCATTAAGTTAACAGTGATAGTGATAAAAAAAAATACATCAGAAAACGTTACCAAGAGCGTTTTTTTGAGGATCAAACAAGATAGGACGAAGTTGCATCCATAAATAGACCCAATTTGGGGACAATAGACCCATATTACATACATTTCCCTCGTGAGTTATTGTCTTAAAAAAAGTAAGTTTTTCAACTTTTCGTGGTTTCTGATAGCAAACGACATGATAAGCATATCTAAGCATACCATTTAGCAGTAGAATATCGTTTGCAGGTAAATTCATTGATGAGTTATGATTAAAAACGTAATCGATGGCTGCATATTAGACCGAGGTTAGGGACGTATACCCTACATCATCTGAAAGGGTTTCGTTTTCTGAGCACAGTGATATTTTTTAACACACTTTCATCTCGATTTTTAAATCAAGATATAAAGCAAAGTAATAAATTTACTGTTTGACACTAAACTAACAAACTGACAGCTCGCTCCCATAGAAAGTGACACCGAGGGGCGCTAATAAGGTGATTTTTGCAAATGTAATCGTACTTATTTGAAATAGTTCCAGTGTACCAAAATTGATGAAATTTTGGGTTTGGGTTCCATTTTAATGCAGATTATGAATATACATTTTCCTCAATACCCTTAAAGAAGTATTGTGAATTACCTAAATTACTTAATTTTTAATCTTTCTCGAGTTGCCGGTTTTCAAATAAAATGCTTGATGATGATGATGATGATGATGATGATGATGATGATGATGATGATGATGATGATGATGATGATGATGATGATGATGATGATGATGATGATGATGATGATGATGATGATGATGATGATGATGATGATGATGATGATGATGATGATGATGATGATGATGATGATGATGATGATGATGATGATGATGATGATGATGATGATGATGATGATGATGATGATGATGATGATGATGATGATGATGATGATGATGATGATGATGATGATGATGATGATGATGATGATGATGATGATGATGATGATGATGATGATGATGATGATGATGATGATGATGATGATGATGATGATGATGATGATGATGATGATGATGATGATGATGATGATGATGATGATGATGATGATGATGATGATGATGATGATGATGATGATGATGATGATGATGATGATGATGATGATGATGATGATGATGATGATGATAGTGGTCTACCACTCATTGCAGCACAGAAACTAGTCCGTAGCTGTTGTGGGCTCTCTGCACTGTTGAACTTGATCAAGCTTAATAACCTCTGATTGTCATCAGCAAATCGCTGTGTGAAGGGCCAAAACGAATGGATGGATTGATAGGTAATTCGCCTATTCATTTCCGTGGGACAGTTAAAAATCTCCTTTCAACAACTTGATCAGACGATTGGTCAGAAAACAAACCATCCAACAGGAAGATGCCTCAATGAATAGGGAGAAGAGCCCGCTTTTTACCCACTAAATGTTAGCAACAGGGAGTTGACATATTCACTTTTCCAATCCAAATCGCTTCAATTTGATGCCCCTCCTCATCCAGAATTTTTAAAATATATTAATATATAATATAATATTCAGATAATCAGAAGCAGAAGGTCCCTCCTCATCCAGAATTTTTGATATATAGTAGAAGCAGAACGTCTACAAAAATATGCGAGTCGATTGAAATCTGCCGAAAATAAATGAGGGCTGAGTTGATTTTTTAACATAGAAGCGTAGATGCATAGGTGAAGGATAAGAGAAAGGAGAGTTAAAGGTGTTGACATGCAAAATTATATATCGTCGAGATTGAATGTGTATGTTTAAATATCGTTGATCCCAGTTTTTTTTTTTTTTTTTTTTGTTTTTTTGGTTTGTTTTTTCCGTCGATCTTGTTTTCCGTGCTGAGCACCAATGCTACCGACGTGCCAGGAAGGCAGCTCCTACACCTGGACCCTACCTATCGACCCATCAACGCATGAACCGGGGACCAACGGCTTTACTGCCTCAGAACATCCCGGCGGCGCTGACTGGGATTGAACCCAGGCCTGCTGGTTCATTCGCTTCCTCCACGTTCCGTCATCCAAGGGCGCATTTGTCCTCCACGAGCATAGTCACGGTCTCGTGGCAGTAGACGACCACCGGTCTAATCAGCGTATTTTAGATAGTCAACTTCGTGGCGAATTTTATTCGACCGGAGCGTCTTCCGGAGTCCATAGTAGGCACGATTCCCTGCCATAATGCGTCT